CTCACATCATATATAAGAGGACCTTCAATGCGCATTTGGCGCCGTACTCGCTTATAGATCTTATAGTGAACTTACCCCGCCCGACTCTTGCGCTGATGTTGTTTTGAACATTGGGATTAGATGCGTTTTAGAACAAAAGATATATTATCTTACCAAAACATACAGATACGAATCATGCCTACATGGTGTCTTGATATCGAACTATATTGTTTTGTCAATATCTTTCCCTAGTTTGAAACCATTGGGGTGACTTGCGTTCTCATGGTGATGTGTGAATTTGGGATAGTAGTTCGTTGATTTTTCACATTTTCGTACTGCGTTTACAATGGGCGAAGAAGTTGGGGTGACTTTTCCTGGCAGTTGGGGGGCGTAGTTCCATGCTGGAATGACAGTTGACTGCAACGTTGGGGGAAGTTCGCCGGCATTGTGTAGAAACTTCCCGCCCCAGGTCAACACGCAGATATGCTTGATGATCTGGAGTGCTACAAGCCGTTGTCACAAATTACCACAGGGGTACTCTGCAATATTGATCAATATTGCACAGCATGTCGCCTACAACAGTTTTTTGTGCCGATCATTCTATTTATGAGTTTTGTGCAACAGCAAAGACTTGACTTTCTGTGAATTTGTCAGAATTTGCCTAAATCTGTAGTGATCTGTGTATATTGCATCTCAAGATCTTAGTGCAGGATGCGGTGCCTTTAGCTGGTTGAAGGAAACAAGAGGCGCAGAGCCACCACAGAGTATTGAAGCCATGTGTAAACGGTGTGAGCTCCACAGGAAAGAGACTCCACAGGAAAGAGTCTCTGAACGTTGCAAACTGTGATGTCCTAGATCCAAAACTTGGGCAAAATTATGCCAGCGCTTCCGGCTTTCACTGCTTCAGGCTTCCCGTGTGGTTTCAATGCACAGGACCACTGGCCTGCAAAGCAAAACAGAAAGGATCTCGCGGCATGGTAGCTGTACCTAGTTGACAACAGAGCAACGCCACTGTCTGATATTTTTTCGAAACTGAAGCAGAAATGGTTTTGAATCAATGAATTCCATGCTGCCTTTTTTGGCCCTTTGAGAAGCACAACGAATCTAGGAAATACACCTGACTTGGTTTTCGCAGTCAGCTGTGTTGAGAACTTTCATCCTCATGCTTGCTATGCCTGCAGTCAGTACTGGGCTGCAGGCCCCAGATGTGGGCCAAAGCTTTTAGCAACTCGCCATTGCAGATGTTTTGGCTTCGAAATTCTTTAAGATGTTTCAAGGGAGCTCAGATGTTTCGCATATTTTCCCATGTTTTCTTTCTACCCTCTTGAGCCTTCAGTCGCACGCTTAAGCTTAAGGCATAGCATAGCTGCCGCTAAACGCTCACAGTGTTTGAGTCGGCCTTGTGGTGCTGGTGCTTGGAAGCATGTTGCCCGTACGGTCGACTGTTGTGGCTTTTGCCATGGCTGCTGCTGAGAAGATGCAAGGGCCTTCGAGCTTCATGCTGATAAGTGGTGCCGAGAGATGTGTCTAGTTGGGATGGGCCTAGCGGGTGCTTTGTTGGACGAGTGCACGGCTGCACTTGCAGAGCTGGATGGATGTGAGGGTTGGAGTCTCACAGGCAGTGGCTCCTTGGCGAATTTAGCTGCGAAAAAGTGTTTGGCTGCGCAGCCTAATGCTGCTGCGAGTGCTGTTGAGCGAGCGCCTTGCGATGAAGCAGGGAAGAGTTCAACCTGGGAGTCGCAAGTCAACGGTCAAATCAAGCTGGGGGCCAGCAACATGTGCCTGAGCCAGGCCGGGCCTTCGCCCGTCCGTGCAGATCTTGCCTTTGCTCCGCAGTTGCTTCTAGCTCCACATTGGACCGTGCACACGGCACACAGAGCTGCACTTGCTGGATACTGATGGTCTCGCATCATCCTATTGGGCACCCAAGTTAGACAAAGCACGCCCTGTATCTTTGACGCTTGAATTTGACAAAGCTGCGCCTGTGCTCAGAGCAGAGCCTGATTTCGAGTTTGTCCCTTCTTCTTTCGCGCTGCAAAGCTGGGGGCAAGTGGTAAGTGGACTGACGAGTTTGCAACTGACACCAACATCGTCGAACCGCCAAGCTCCGACTGACCAGTGGCCTGGCCTATGGAGTGAGGCTTGTGATGAACAAAGCGCATGCATCCCAAGGCGCTATAGGAGCCGTTCCATGTTTGGAGTGCGTTCCTTCAGGTCCTCGCCGCGCTGATGCGCCTGGTTGTGGAGCCTGGCATGGTGGCGGCCAAGAGCAGTGATGCCCGAGACATATTTCGCCGTGGCCGTCGGCTCCTTTGATCCTTCGTTTGGCACCGCGCTGCGGTCGGAGCTTCCTGCTTTGGACCCTGCCGGGGCAGCAGTTGCCGCCGCACAGTGACGGAGCTTGCAGAAGCAGTATGCGCACAAGAAAGGCATTGCCTTCAAGGCAAAAGCAGGACGCCGCCAGACAGCATCGTCCGCCCGCAAGATTCTTGGAGGAGCAGAAATTGCTGAGCAGGAGGCTTTGTTTGGTGAAGCCAAGAAGGCCGTCATCGCTGCCCGCAGCATTTTGGAATGAGCGTAATTCGCTGGGTTTGCTATGTTGCAATGTTTGACGTGGCCCTAGATTCGCCCCAAGTGGCAACCTACTGTGTGTATCGCAGCATTCGGACTTCCTCTCACTCGTTGAACCTCCAGGACCGACCGTTTGAGGTTTCTCTTTTCCAGTTCCGGGCAATGTTGAACATTCCATGAAACTTTTGTTTCGGTTCATTTTTCCATTGTCAAGTCACAGAGGCCTTCATATGGTACAGATTCCGTGAGATCCCTAAAGACCACTCAGAATGATGCTTTAGCAGGAGGGGAATTGAAGGAAAACGCGGTCGAGACGTCGAGTCAAGGCAAGCAAGTCGAGCTACTTACAGAAAGCTGCGGCTAGTTGCCCCGAACCCGCAGTGCATATTTGTCGTTCAGGACTGGTATGCAACGAACTGGAGAAGCAAGAGCCGGCCTCATTGACTTGAATGAAATCTAAGTTGCTTTCGGACCATTCATGAAGACTGCTTGAGGGTTTAGTTTAGATGGGTTCTTTCAATGTGTCAATATGTTGGTGCTTTATATACTTTGCTGCCGTTTCAGCCAGATGTGTTAAAATGACTTAGAACGCACTTTTACATGAAAGGCAATAGGTGACCTAAAGCCACCAAAGACGGGTCGGATCCAGGGGATAAAAAGCAACATAGACACTCTCTTGCGTCGAATAGTGTCAAGAAACTCACATCCACTGCATTCTATATCAACGCAAACAGATCAACTCTTTAAAGGCTGTCAGTTGCAGGGCTCACTTCCTCCAAAGGCATAATTTGATGTGGACATGTGTTTTGATTCAATGTTATCTCCCTCTGGTGAAAATGGTGAAACATGTTGAATTAGTCGACATTAACAGCATAGACATCCTCGTTGAAATTTCCCCTATGAAATGGCTGGCCTCCAGGCCCATATAAGGTCGATTTATAGGGTCATTTTGTAGGAAATCACTTTCAGGATCCCAGCCATTTTGTAGCATGTACTAATTTGAAGGGCCTCGAGGCCCATTTCGGAGGCCATTTTGTAGGGAGCCTGCTTGCACCTTGCCATGTTGTAAGAGCAAAAAAATAGATGATCTAGGCATTAAATTCACTATCATATAGCAATCTCGAAATGTAGTCTGAGGGCTTGGCTGGGTTGGGGCCATTCATTTTGTAAGAAATTCTTTGCCTGTTTAAGGGGTCATTTTGTAGGGAATTCGTGCTGTTCTTGAAAAAACGATCTGCTTTCCAAATTTGTGCAGGGATGTTGGCTGTCGCACCAAAGCTTCATGCAGTGGCTTACAAAAAGGAAGGGTGTTATCAGGATGGTCTGATGTACTGTGTTCTTCTGTACAAGTCACCCAAGCACTTTGTAAGACCATGTAAGACTTGAATTGCTATGCAGATCTATTTGTGAGATCTTTGCAGGTATGGAAACAAAGTTATGGAGGGAACTGAACAATTGGTGGTGCACTTGGTGCGCATGGTGCGCCCCATCTTTTTGTAGGACTTAGGTGGTGACGCCCCTTCATTGCGTAAGAAGACACAAAACCATGTCCTTACAAAAAGGATGGGTTGCTCCTTAAAGGCAACAATTGAGGGCTGAGTGAGGAAAACGCAGATAAATGGCAGAACAACCGGTTCTTACAAAATGATGTCTTTTTTGGGAGCAAAATTTTATACTCAGAAAAAGACAGGAATCAAACATCCGGGCGAAATATACCTCCCTACAAAATGTGGTGGTGCTGCAAAGAGCTGGTTGATGCACACAGCCTTACCATTTTGTATGTTTTTTTGCTTGCACCCATTCATTTCGTGGGCTTTTTGCAAGACCCCGCGGTTTATAGCTACAAATAGCGGGGTCTGACCCCTTGGGGTGAATTTCAAGGGGGATGCATAGACTGTAAAAGTAATGACGCTGGTAGCGACGACCCATTGCGCAGTTACTGCGTGGTTGCTTTCAATATGTCTGAATAAATGTTAGAATGATTTCAAATGCATGCACCACCGCATCACTTGAAAGGACACAGACTTTCTATGCTCTTCATTCGTCAGCAGCTTGCAACATCCACAAGCCACAAAACAATGTATGGCATCCATTCAGACTTGTCTTTTCACATCTTTTCGCTGCATGGCCTCACCATCCTCAGTGCGATCATTTGGAGGTCACTCTTTCATACTTTTCACTGTACTTGCCTTCAGTTCAGACTGGACCGACAGATTTTTCACTGGATCTACGAGCAGCATCTAGCATCCAATATTGGTGGATTGCATCTGCATCCTCGAGACATCCAATGCACTGTTGGCAATGATAGTGTCGATATCTTTTTCAAGTTTCGTGTTGAAGTCTTGCAATGCTGCAGGGGCGCTGACCTCTCCAAATGGTGGGAGTGAGTTTGAGAAGGTTCGCCATACACAACAGATATCAACAGATACACATGCATTCACTGGACACACATGCCGCACATGCTGCATGTATGTTGTCCATCCTGGATCTTGGTACCATAAGACTTCCAAACATATTGTATATAGTAATATAATGTAATATATATATATATACATACACACACGCATACTCTACAAATCATATACAATCAATCTAATATATATATATGTATATGTATATACATGAAAGAACGTCCTCGGTTTTAAGATGAACATGGCGTAGGTCATCTTTTTTCCCAAGGTTTCGTATAGTGTAAAATCATCACATACAAATTATAGTCGCATTTAAGTGGAGGTGGAAGTGGGATTCAAGCGAGATGCAATCAAACTACTTGGATAAATTGCACAGGTCGCCGCTCCTTTGGCAAGTGAGCTGCTTGCCACTTTGGAGCAGGACTACCTGGTCCTACACGTGGGACAGTATATGTAGGTTATTTTTGATGATGGTTGGAATATATCCCACTTGGTAGTATATTACCACTAGATACCACTAGTATTACCACTTTACAGTGTTACATCAATTTGTTCAGTAATAATATTAAGAGCACTAAGAGCATTAAGAACAACACCACGTGTACCAAAATTAAAAGCATTAGTAATTACAATTGTAGATTCCCGGGGCCTTTCATTTTAGCTTGGCCCCTTAGCACTACCGATGCATTACCGGCCTAGAAAACGATAAGACTAAAAATTTCTCCCTTCGAGTGATCCCCACAAAGTGACTTTCTACCTATTATATATTCTGACATATACTTTGACATTCTATTTGGCATTCTATCTGACATTTTATCTGACGTACACTCTGGGATTTTCTCTGGCATTCTATCTGGCATCTATTTTGACATCCTATCTGGCATCCTTTCTGGCATCTATTCTGACATTGTCTCTGGCATCTATTCTGGCATTCTCTCTGACATTGAGATCTGGCACTCGCGGTTGAGGTCCGGCAGCTCTGGTGCTCGCAGTTGAGGTCCGGCAGTGCCCACTGAGATCCGGCGCTCGCGGTTGAGGTCCGGCAGTGCCCACTGAGATCCCTCGCTCGCGGTTGAGGCCCCCACTGCTGTCTGCGGCTTGCGGCTGAGGAGCTGGAGGATAAGGAGAAGGAGGAGGAGGAGGAGGACAGGATGCACCTCTGATAAAATCATTTTTCATCTCGGGGCCCTCACCTGGCAGGTGGGGAAAAACAATACCGAGCTTATGCACGCATATGTTCATGAACCCTCAAGATGGCAACCTGCACAGGCCTTCAAAACGATAGAAAAACGATAACAAGGCGATAGCGACATGTGAAAGAACGCCGGCGTTTGGGTGGATACCACCCTACCGGTTTGAACATATCGCATTTCGAAGACCTGCATGTTTAATACCACATAGCAACGGAAAATGTTCAAAAATGAATGCACAATGGAAAAAAATGAAAAAAATAAGGCAAATGAAAAGAAATGAATGCAACATGAAGTGAAACATTAAGGGGCATGAATGCAAAATGAAAGGCAATGAAAGGAAATGAAAGGCAAAAATGATATCTGTTGACTTTCGACTAAGGATGCTTTAACACCCACAAAAAACTGGAAAATTCTCATGTCTAGTAGAGAGAGCCCACCGCCTGAGAAAACAATAAGAGCAAAAAACGATTTCGGGACAGTTAAAATGACACGGAGTTTTTATACAATCCCACGTGTAACAGTTGTTTACAGTATGTTACAGTCAGAATTCGTAAGAGTTCGATAGAAGTTCGAGTCTTGAAGAGTATCATCTGTTTTTTTTGTTGTCCAAATTTGGATTACACATCCAAGTTTTGCACTGCTCATCGGTGCTCTTCGCGGAAGGAACATACTCGAGAGATTGTGACTTTGTACGAAGAACAGGCCTGCTATGCTGCTACACTTGTGGTCAGCCTGCACGGGTTTCATGGAAACAAAATGGATGAAAATGCACCTTGCAATTTCAGAATTATTTTCAATGTTAATGTTTGGGGAACAGCTAAAATATACAAAAATAATCTAAAATATATGTTTGGTGTTAGTCATATTTGGGTAGTTTTGAAGCCCCTGCCGCATGACACGTATGAACCTCTCTTCCACAGCCCACAAAACCATTACTGTAAAGGCTGGAACCGACATGTTTGGTCGCAAAAAAAGTATCATCTAAACCACGATTAGGCAGGCATGATGAACCAGTACCAGCGCAAGAGAACGCAAAAAAATATTGTACGCCCAAAACTATTTGCGCCAGTATCCTCCAGGCAACGTTTGGTTGGTGAGCAAGTATACTGTACTGTAAGAGTGGTCCGTACAAGTATGTTTCCCTTGCATAAGTGTTTTTCGCTCACATATGTTTTTTCCATTGTAGTCGGATGTAGTCGGTGAAACTCAATTTGAAACCAGCACTTGCGATTTCTCCCCTCCCGCATGTCAACCATGTTGTTGGTGCCGTGTTCTTGCATTGTTTTGCTTATGCGACGTTATTCGGTATGTAAGTCAGGAGCAGGTGGCCCCTGACGAGGATCGCACGAATTTATCGTATTCATTTTTCAATATGTTTCATTGTTGGTGTAACTTTGGTGATGTCTTGAAAGAGGCGGAGTGACGCCATTTCAAGCCAGTCGTTTCATGATGCTTAGCTTCTTGTGAAAGCCAGACACACAATCACAGTCACAGCGCTTCCACATTTTTTCGCACGGTGTGCCAAAACGTACAGAAACAAACGAAGACGCCCATCACGGAGTCTTTTTTATACGGGGATGTGAATGCACGTATACTGGTTTCTATGGAAGATGTTATTGGTGTAGTTCTTATGCAACATCTTTGTGTCCTGTGCAAGAGTGCAAGTACATGTGTGACGGATGGTTGTGTGCAGTGCAAGTGGTGCAAGAAGGCTTAAGTATGCCATGCACCCTGTCGCTATATTCTACAATATGTGCAGGTAGAGTACAAGAGTACCAGTATGTATGTAGATACACCACAGTATCAAACATCCTCTTTCTGTCTTGCTCACAGATGTCTAGGACGCTCAAAATAAAGGTGTGATCCAGTTGCATCAATTGCCAGTTTCTGCAAATTTGCGAATTGATAATATCGATATATCACATATAATTATGTATATACATAATATACATCTATGTATATACATATACACTGTAAATCACAGTAATATATATATACATATATATATATATATGGAGTCGAGATGTGTAAACTACTTCAGCACGCAGTGGTTTCCCCGGCTAAAGCTATGATGCTTGTTGTGGGATGTTGCAATAATGCCTGGTGTGTATACTGGTGTATGTAGAAGATGATAGAAAATGAAAGAAAGTGATAGAACATGATAGAAAATGATAGGAAAGGAAAAAGTATGGTAGAAGATGATAGAAGACAATAGAAGCCAATAGAACATGAAATAAGATGATACAAAATGATAAGAGCTCAAAGAAAAGGATACGAGCTGATAGAAACTGATAGAAGATGATAGGAGCTGAAAGAAGATGATATAATATGATAGAAGGGGATAGAAGATAATAGAATATGATAGAACATGATCTAATATCAGAGATCGCGATAGAAGATGAATTAAAAAAAACAAAAAAACGGTACTGTACCGATAGAGATCATGATAGAAAATGATAGATGATGATAGATGGTGATAGAAGATTATGGAAAGTGATAGAAAATGATTGAAAATGATAGAGGATGATAGAAGGGGATAGAAAATGATAGTAGATGATAGTGATAGAGGATGGTAGAACATGATTTTAAAAATGATAGAACATGATAGAATATCATAGAATGTGATAGAAGACGATAGAAACGATAGAGATCATGATAGAATGTGATAGAAAATGATAGAGGATGGTAGAAGATGATGGAACATGGTAGAAATGTATGTGCTTGCAAATGGCTGCCACGAAATCCGATCTGCGCTGTTGCCAGGTGCGCTTGCGTGAGGAACTTCGCCGAGTAGTCGATCTCATGCAGCAGGAGGTTGCTCAGTTTGGCAAAGTGTGGTTTCGCATGGCCGCAGAAAGCATTCACTGACTGAGAAGCTGAAATATGAATAGATTTCATACTTGAATATACTCGATAGGTTAAGAACATTTAAAATGTTCTTGCAAGTGTTCAGAAGATGTCGGAAGGTGATTGGACAATCAACAACATGCGACCGTTGAAGGTCCTGCCTCGAGAACGGCAACTCCATGACATGTTCGAACAACTCAACGCTGCATTTCATTCGCACGGTTCTCAGAGTGTTGAAGGTTGACGTTGAAATGTAATGAAACACTGAGTCAAACTGAGTCATTGTGACATCGACCTCAATTACTGTATTCAACATTTACATACATTGAATTGATTTGGAGACAGCTGCAAGGTGTTAAGATCGGTTACGGTGTTGCGCTGTCACATCGCTTTTCTCGAAAGTTTTTGCCGCGGTGCAGGTCCGCGGAGAACATGCGGAGACAGCAAGAGGTCACATCGATTCTCTTTGACATTCACATCAATCACCAATAATCTCAACACATCTCAACCATTTTTTGGGATGAGCAGCAAGAGAGATCAAGACTGCGGATAGACGGATATTTCACCACACAAGAGATCACCAAAGCAATTTGGGCTGCCAGGAAGGAATGTGGAAGAGCAATTTTGATCAATTTTGAAACATTTCGAAACAAATTAATATAAAATTCAAAATATCATCAAGAGCCATGAGCCGCATTCTGCCAGGAGTTTCATGCAAGGGCCTCGCCTGGGACTCAGGTCCGATCAACCTGACATGTCAAAGCGAGGGTGCAAAACCGAGACTGTACAGTAGAAGATTAGAAGATGTAGAAGGGAGATGAAACCAAAGTGCAAAGCGTTTCAAAAAAGTGAAGGCCTCCAATGGCCAAAGGTCTAAAGACAACAGACCAAGCATGACCGAGCCCTCTTCTCCCACCGCACTTGTTCCAAGACTTGGAGTCTTGGAGTATCTTGGAGTGTTCGAATATCTCTGAGACACCTGATCGATCCTGATGGTTTGATGGGTTCCTTATTGGTTCCTTATGTTCCTTCGTCAGACCGTCATGGTTTTGAGGCAAGTGACACAAAGGCATGACGATTCTCGGCGCCAAATGTTGGATCCGTTGCAGGCCTCTCAGTATCTTGGAAGCCGGTGCTGCAACCCCTGACCTGGTATGGTATAGCGTTCTTACATATTCTCCGCATGACTTGACCAATATATAGATGCTAATGACTGTTAATTAATAGTTACTGGTAGAGTTACATGATTTTAACATATTTTATAGACTATTTTAACATATTTTCCATGTCAGTTACAAGTGCTGCATGGTTGATGTTGTGTTTTAGTATGTTTTAGTGACCTTCATTAGTTGGCAAGGCTAGTGGGTACGCTGACATGGAAGGCAAGTGCTTGATTCGAGGCGTACGGATTGAATTCCCTAACGCTACTCGTACTTGCAGTGATTCGCCATGCAACTTGCCTTTCCTATGCTGTAGTTTAGTCAGACGGTGGCAGCGTGGTGACATACTTGTGACATGATGATATGACGTGTCACTCCTTCCAGGAGGCCGAGCGCGAGTTGGCCAGGCGCATGAATGTTGGATGATGTTGGATGTGTTTGATACGTGCGCTTCATGCGTATCTTGTCTAGCAATGAACATGGAAACACAGATGCTCCCGATGTTTCTTGGATTCTGCAAACATTTGGTATCCTTGTATCTTGGGATAAGGAACCTCTCAGGGTCTGAAAGCTCAATGCTCAATAGCATCACAGAAACTGAAGAAATGCAGACGTCAGGATCAACTCCATATTACAGCAGCCACTGGTCATATCCAATGATTTGCCGCAAGATGCTCAGAGTTGAGACTGCAACAGCTGTTGAGTAAATGGGTTTTAAGTTTTAAATGGAATTTTGAACGAAGTTGCGGGTGGGACTGTGGGGAAATCCTACGACGCTCGACAATATTTCACAATACCACTGTGTGTTTCCATGCTTGCATTTGAGATCTGGACTGCGTTGCAGCATAGAGACTGGAGAAAGAAATGGGACCACCAAGCATAAAACCCATCAAAATCATTAATCATCAAAAAAAACAAAAACAAGAAATGAACGCTGAGATTGCTACAGAATGTTACAGAATTCTACCTGCCTGGTGTTTTCCAATGTTTTGAAGGCCTTGATTGGTCCTCAGACTTGTGGGACTCCATCAGACTCTGTCACTCTCCGTTGCAAGGCCTCAGGTGCTGCAGCATATACAGGCTTTGCCAACCTCGACCTGGCAACCTGCGAAGGCTTGATGGGATTTGAAACATTTTGAAATATTAAAATTCGAAGTGCATATATATAATATTATATAATTATATATTTATTATATTATGTATTAATGATTTAATTATTTTGATTTGGTATACAGTCTTACAGTAATTATATTTCTCGACTCAACGAGCAAAACATGACAAGAATAATTATCCAAGAATCTCCTTTGCTTCATGCTAATGAATCCTGTGAGTGATTCAGGGTGGACCATGAAACTACACGTTTGTGATTCAACAAAATGGACAGAGCAAGCGGAGCTAGAGCAGCTAGACTGGGTTCTGTGCTGCCAAGAAAAATCAGTTTCAGCATTTTTCAGGTGTATCTTCCCAAGTGGTTGATCTGACACAAGAATACACAAGATATAGTGTGTTCGAGTAGTGTTCCAGTGCCCTTCCAGAGGATTGTATGCCCGAGTCAGGCAGCTCCCAGAGCTGCTTCTTTTAGTGACAATGGCCATGTACCGAATTGTCCCAACTGTGGCTTGGTGCATGGAGCAGGAGCATCGTTGAACGATCACAACCTTTTGTGGTAGGGATTGGTAGGGTGTGGACCAGGACGGCACGAGTTCCCACGAGTTGCAAGACAAAGGGAGTAGCATATACGGAAACCACGGTAAGAAAATATAACAATGATATAACAATGATATGATATAACTATAACAAAGGTACTGGTAGCAGCGATGAGGATAGTGAAAATAGTAATGGATGCTAACGATCCGGTTATATGTGGTTAATATGCTAGTAGGTCTTCCTGACAATTTAGGAGTAGTACCGAGGTGGGAACGAATATGCTGGAGACTCTCTCTTTTGCCGAAAATGTGGGCAGAAACGGGAGGCAAGACTCACTGCAGGACTTGCAAGATTTTACCGCATTTTGCGACTTCATCAGAGCTACTCAATGTTGCCGCCAGGGTGTTGACAGGCCTCCATCCCTGGCTCTGAGAAGGCTAGTTTGGGTGGACCGAGCTGAATGTGTGGTTGCATCTCTTCTCCTTGCAGACTTTTGTGTACTTGGAACAGTCCAAACCGTGCAATAGCCCTCCCGCCCTTTGTTGTTACACGGGTTTGTACATTTTGTACATTTGTTTGCTCTTTTTTGTATCACAAGCTGGATCAGTCAGCAGCATGAGCAGGCGCTTGAACAAAATTCCAACGCTCTCTTTCAAAGCTTATACTGCCTTTGGAAGCCCCCCTTGGCAAGTCCTGATCATTTCTGCCATTCCGAAGGGGTTTCTCAGTTCAGTGGCTAAAGTTTGCGCATGTTTGTTCTGAATTGGTTGGAAACAATTGAGCAGCATCAAAAACCTCCATGAAGGGATTTAGTATTCGGGTTCATGTGGGGAACCCCCCGCGAAAGCAAAACCTCCACGCGCGAAAGCTCCGCGAAAGGGGTGCGTCAAGGTCGAGCCGCGAAAGCAGTGGCGAAAGCAGGTAGATAGTAGAAGCACATTTGAATATTCATGTGCACCATCATTTACGGGCAATTTTCCGCGAAAGCAACCGCGAAAGATATTACGAAACACATGTCGCCGCGAAAGACAAAACTGTGCCCGCAAAAGAACCGCGAAAGCCGTCGCGAAAGCTTCTAAGGATTAGAACCAAATCGCTACCCGGTTTTCGACGCCGCTCAATTGAGACTACAGTGTGTATTGTGCATTTCTATTTGTGAGATTTCGTGACTGCGTGGAACTGTTTCCTACATATTTCTCAGTGTTCCCTTTTTCCAGAGTTTGACTTCAAACAGTTTCCTTGAGGATTTGTGTGATATTTGTATCTTTCTAAAAGACTGATTTTTATGTGTACTACTTGTAATGTACCGCAATGTACCGCACTTGTATGTGTTGTACTTCAAACTTGAGCTCAAGGGAGGTTTCAGCATTCATCGCCAGCCATGACGATCAGTATTCCAACATATTGCAACGACCTTGCTTCCGTGGATGACTTGTGCTAAAGGGCTTGTAGGATCCAGCAAACGCGCTGGCCACGAGTAATTTGTCACTCCTGTGCAGTGTATGACCAATTTATACCAAGTGACCAAGTACTCGGATGTACTCGGCAGATTGTACATGTTCTTTCACTTTCTATTTCCAAGCATATTTCATTGTATTTCCCCATAGCAGAGACGGGCTGCCAGCCTTCAGTGGTTTCTTCTTCGCAGACATTGGTCGGTTTGTTCGCTTGGTAGGACAAGCTGAAATCTGCATTTATTCGCGGGGTGCTGCACTTAATCCTTCGATGTTGGTTGATATATTGGATAATGATATAACTTATATAACATAACATAATATAATACAACTCATATATCATACATAAATATCCTCTGTAAAATGTGGAGGGATATGGACCGGATAAGAGCATTTTTAATACACGTTTTTTCTCTCATTTTTATGGCTCGAGTGTAGTCCCCCATGTCATACAGATTTTTTTGGGGGGGTCAGAGCAGCATTTTATAGTGATGTTCACCTGGAGGGTGACAGCCACTTACAAGGTCATAGGTTCCCATTCTATAGAGACCGAGACCACATATGTATATACTCTGGAAAACCGCAATTTTCCAACGTCATGCGTTCCCATTTTATAGTGGCTGAAGCTGTTATCACAAAAAAACATACATCACCATACCACACCATACCATACCCTACCCATCCCATCAAAACCCAACCTATACAACTGGGAGTCGTTCTAAAGGTCCATGAAAGGATTTTTAATTGCCAAGGCCGCCGGGTTTCAGCATCAGACCGCGCGATTTTATTTTTCTGAGTTCGCGATTTTTTGTGCGAAAGATTATGAAAGATTTAGCAAGGGTTTTAACATGAGACCCCCGCGAAAGATAAACGTGGGGTTCGCGAAAGATTCGCGAAATTGACCTTTTTTATTCGCGAAGAATGGCCGTTTCAAGAGAGAGGAATTTAGAACAACTGCCACTATAAAATGGAAAAACACAGAAATGCCACAATTATTGCTACATATACCACATGCTACAACTTTAACAACATGTTACAAAATGCATGCAAAAGCTTCAGGATACCCAAAATTGAGCCATATTACACTTGTTATAGAGGCATAACCTGTAATTATATATTTGGTCTGTATGGAATATTCTGGAATGTTAATGTTTTATGTTTTTTGTATTTGTTTGATGAATTTGATGTTTTTAGTATTTTTTGTCATGTGTTACATAATTTTCCATTTTATAGAGGCATAACCTGTATATATCTGGAATATGTGGAATATTCTGAAAGTTTTATGTTGTTTAAATGTTTTGTATTTTTTGTCATGTTGTACAGAATTTTCCATTTCATGGAGGCATAACCTGTATATATCTGGAATTTGCGGAATATTCTGGAATGTTTTTTGTTTTTTAAATGTTTTGTATTTTTTGTCATGTTGTACAGAATCTTCCATTTTATAGAGGCATAACCTGTATATATCTGGAATTTGCGGAATATTCTGAAAGTTTTATGTTGTTTAAATGTTTTGTATTTTTTGTCATGTTTTACAGAATTTTCCATTTCATGGAGGCATAACCTGTATATATCTGGAATTTGCAGAATATTCTGGAATGGTTTTTGTTTTTTAAATGTTTTGTATTTTTTGTCATGTTGTACAGAATTGTCCATTTCATGGAGGCATAACCTGTATATATCTGGAATTTGCGGAATATTCTGGAATGTTTTTTGTTTTTTAAATGTTTTGTATGTTTTGTCATGTTGTACGGAATTTTCCATTTCATGGAGGCATAACCTGTATATATCTGGAATTTGCGGAATATTCTGGAATGTTTTTTGTTTTCTGTTTTACATACCAAAATGGAGGTGGCCCAGTCCGAACCATGCGTCTAGATCACTGTGGGTCGATCCATATTGTTATAGCCAAGGACCCAGGGCACTATAAAGTGGGAACCCATGACGTCAGAAAATCAGGGCTTTTAAGGGTATATAATCGCTTTAAAAGGGGAACCCATGACGTCAAGAAAACCTAGGTGTAAGGTTTGTTAAGGAAATCCAAACATTTGGGGGGTTCATAGGGCACCATTCTATAGTGAGTTTTGGGATGTTTTGGGTAAGTTTAGGAAAATAAAGATAGGCTCGACGATATGTCATGGGTCCCCATTTTTTATAGTGGTTGAAGGGTTTTGGGGTTAAACGAGGGTTAAGTGCTGGCCTCTACAAATTTGATATTTTTTCATTTTATAGAGGTGTACCCTCCCCAGGAGGGTCATGGGTTCCCATTTTATAGAGGACCCTGTTGGGAGTGGATGTACCCCCGCGTTTTATCCCTATAAAATGGGGACCCATGACGTTCCGACTTAATTCACAAGGGGTTCATAATCATTCATATATAATATTCATTATAATTAATTTATTATATATAATTATAATTATATATATAATTATATATATAATTATATATATAATTATATATATAATTATATATATATTATATATTATTATGTTTTTTAATTCGAGCAGTCAGTTCCCTCATTGAGTCGGGCAGGTGAAAGGGAGGATGCACATGATCAAGATGGCAGGTACGCGCTTAAGTGCCGACTCACCAGATAGTGAAAGCAACGAAGCAGAGAACTCTGAAGCGATGGCTTAAGCTCTCATTCTACAGTGTTGATATGTGAAACATTGTGGAACACCGACGGCACAACTTTTTGCGTTCGGCAGTCTATCAGAGTTCTAATTGTCACCCAGCAGACTGCCAAACCAGCATATACAGCTCAGAAACGTAGCTACAACAAGTCAACAAGTGAGGATTGAAGAATGACTACTACATAATTACTTTCAACGAGAATCCCACATTATATATATATGTATATATACATATTATATTGTCAAGCGAGTGCTCTAGCACCCTTTCTGATCTCTCACATAGTTCAGTCACATCCAGATTGATGCAGTGGAACAGAATGGAGAGGCTCTGCTTCCCAAAGGTTGGTAAGGTACAGTATCAGTACTCAGTATCAGCGCTCAGTGTGCCATGAATAGATGAGCTCGCCAAACAGCAAGCGGAGGAAAAGACCCACGGGTTCACAATGGTCCACCAATGGCAAAAGCCACCGTTACTTCCGTTACTTAAGCTTTACCTTAGTCAGGGCCTGATATTGCGCGATTTGCAATGGGCTCGAGCAGGAGCCTGTGCAAGCCGCTGATCACTGGATGGCACACGATGTCTAGGCCCTATACTGTAGATGACGGTCTTGCATGCGTCAGGAAAAAAAGAAAAGCGGACAGTGAAGAGAACAACATCAGCAAGGTCAGCATCAAGATGGAATCTTAGTACTGTGGTACACATTACTGCGCAAGACTGCACTTTTTTTGCCCAGCTCGTATTAAAAGCCTTGGTACACACGGACCGGTAGTATATTTCAACATATTTCGACACCCCTTGAGGAATGACACGACCGTAAAAGTTTGGAACCGCATTCAGTCGAAACAGGCTGAAACACCCGCACCAGATCACTCATCTATCGAGGAGTGCCGAGTTTCTTGGATGGATCCGCATTTGTCTGATCAGACCAGAAAATCTTCATTGATGCTTGTTCTGTCTGATCTGCCTGGGTGCGCTGTTGCAGGATGAGTTTGGTTCTACCTACGAGGCGGTCTGGGCTGATGAATTGATTTTCCAGGACTGGCTGACCTGCAGACTCCGCTTGCGAGGTTGATGATCCAAGGCATAAGAGCGAAGAAGAACATGAACACATAGACGGTCATATTCCGCTCCCAAAACAGATGTCAGGAGAAAACAAAGTACCAGGATTTGGCTGTCTTCCGCAGCAACAGTTATGGTCACCCACCTGCAACTTGAGCAAAAGACAGAGGCCTCAGATTGGCCAAGCCCAAAGCAAGAAAATATGTAACCGTTTCATATCTTTACAGCCAATATTTGTACTAACAACTAATACCTGCCAGCGCCGTGCCAGCTTCGCCTTTCGAAGATTCAGAGGTTTTTGAGCACACGTCACCATCGTCACCAAATGTCACAATGGCACTAGCCGCTAGTGCTTTGAGTGATCCGGACAGGTCTTGAAAGAATTCAGACGTACACTTATCACAAAGACCCCATCGCCCCTTTACTACCTGTTAAGTACTGTTAAGTGACTAAGGTGTTTGCCTATGTTTGGACGGCGTTATTCAAAGCACTGCTCCTTGGTCAAGTGGAGCAAAGCGCTGAAGCTGCAAAGGTGAAGCCTGTCAAGGCTATTTCAGCTATTTGATATAATTTCATTAACCAATCGAACTCAACAGACTACAGTTGATACTTGCTTGGGCTTGTCGGCCACACTGCATTCAGCATTGAGGAGAAAGATGAACATATCTACCATGAGCGCTTGGTCCATGTCCCACTGCTACTTTGCCCAAAGCCACGTCGCGCGGCTTGTCGTGATAAAAGGATACAAAAGGGGTCAATGGGTTAACGGAATCGCATGGAATCGCAGATTAAGAAGATCTTTCAAGATTGCGGCGTCAAAGTTTGATGGTTTTGTGTTCCCTAGCTAAGAAGTTCTCCTTCGTGAGTTCTGCGAATATGCTGAGTTTCTCTTGGATTGCTGTATGGAGGGAGATGAAGGGAGGAGAAGAAGAAGAAGGAATAAGAAGGGCCTGCAACATTTTGAATATGTCCCTCCAAACAGCTTCAATGTGTGCCAAAACTCCTTCGTTCCTTTTACTGCTAGTGAATGAACACGGAGCCGCCGAAGAGCCGTGAGCCATGTCAATCCACTTCATTTCTGGCATTTTTTTCCAGGTCTGTCATGCCGCAAAGTCCAAGGGATGTTTTAGCGAACCATTTTACAAGATTCTACAAGTTAAATTGCAACGAAGTCGCAATGAATGCTCATCAGGTCGTGATTTGTGGCGGTGGCAATGGAGGTGCTGCTCGAGAAGTTCTGAAGCACAAAAGTGTGGAGCCCTCTGTGCATTGTTTTCTAAACATGAATTCACAGAGGTCAAGCAAAGTCAACTTAAAGGAGTGCCAAAGATGTTCTGAATTGTTCAATGTTTTCGGCTGTGGGTGTCATTTTTGTTTGCTTTGTCGTTTTTTGCCTCGGCCCTTTTGCACAGTTCTGTGCTGGTACTGGTAGTTTGGATTGAAACTTGTCATTCACTTTCAACTTTTTCAACGTAGCATGTCATAGCAGTCACAGCATGTGTCAAGAGATGTCAAGAGTCAAGCTGAAGGTGAAAGAAGTCTTTCTCATAGAGATTGATCCAGCAGTTCGAAATGCAGCAAAGAGGCAGATCATTGCAGAATGTGACACTGCTGACAAAATGTTCAATAATGTAAAGCATACATACATTGGAAGCATACAGATTGCATACATTGTATTGCATACATCAGGAACTCTCGATGTTTGATTTTTTCAGGTTCATACAGTCGCAGTCTGCTGCCTTGTCTGACTCTCGCGTGACAACTATATTTGTCACTTGAACGCATTGATACTATTGTCGCTTGAAGGATTCCAGTGTTATTTCATGTCAACGCTATTTTGTCATGTTGTTTTCCTTCAACATGTCACTAGATAGTCTTCCGGAAGACACTCAAACTTGAGCCTTGCAGGACTCCAGGACTGAATATATTTTATGGTCGTGCCTTTTGGCCATATGCCAAACCAAAAGAAGTCCAAGGGGTTTGGCCTGGTTGGCTCTTCTTTCTGACTTATTTCCTGTAGCTAGATGATGCTAGATGTAGGTGCATGTTGCATGAGACATCAGAGGCAGCTGCTTGAATTCCTTCGCCTTTTCCTGCCTGCGCAAGCAAATTGCTTGGGGGGTATGGGCTGCACACAGAATTGAATTATAGAATGCTGATGCGTGTCCCTGGAAAGGTGGAACCAGATGAAATATGATGAAATATGATGAAATCAGATTAAGTTATATACAGTATTAAGCATAATTAAACGCCGTGATTAAACTATATTCAGCTCCAAGATTTTGACCTTTGGGTCTGCCTTCACTTCCGTTACAATCAACACAGCACAAACCACTGAAGAGCAAACGTTCCGTTGGCCAAGTGCTACCAGGAAGACAACGCCAAGACATTTCATGAGGAACATAATGCAGCCTCAAATTCAGGTAGTTTCCAAATGTTTCCAGTACAAGACTCTTTCTTGATGCAGGGCAATAGAACGAATAGAAGCCTACATGATCGTCGTTGTATGTCGTTGTATATCTCTGTTTTTCTGCTCCTGTTCATCCCTCCTGACACTCCTCCGCCTCCCTGTGCTGTTGCCTCCTGCTGTTGCTTTTCCTCCTTATTAGATTTATGAGCGCCTCGTTATTGCCGTCATTTTCATACTCACCATATCTCTCTCTATTCACCAACACTTTTGAAGACATGTGTTTTTCTTTTAATGTTTTCTTTGCTGCTACCGCAGGCTAAATCTAGACGCCATCCAACTTGTATATACACAAACCATCACAAACCTGTATCAAACACATCCTATCACAGACAATTAGCAATATTAGCAATGAATGAGCGGGGAACAACGGAGGCCCACAAGGAGGAGAGCATCCCCAACAACAAAACACCGCCCTACAAGGCCGTCGTGGAATCTTTGCCGGCTCAAAGCTTGTACCAACATGTTCAATTAATTAAGACATTGACTATCATTGAATCATATTGAATCATGTCAATGTATGTTGATACATTGTTAATGTATGTTAACGTATTAGCACGGACTGTGCCCGGCACCATCGAAAGAGGGACCTCAGAATTAAGCATTTTTGGTGCACAAAGAGAATGACTGTACAGTTGCCAGTGTTAGATGAATCGTAAACTAGGCCACCATGATTCAAAATGCGCCTAAAGCATCGGGCCGATTCATGAATGTAAAATCCTTGTTCGTCTTGTCATGGCGCGTTCTCCAATGGCAACTTCAAGTGAAAATGCTGAGAACACGGAGAATGCCGCCAAAGCGTTTGACTGCCCGGAAGCCCACGGCTTACAATCAGGACTGACACCTAGTCCTGGCCGTTTGTGTGATATTTGCAAGACCACGATGAGCCCGGGCAGTGATCGGTTTGCATGCAAAGAATGCGACTTTGATGTTTGTAAGCAGTGCATGAATGGGTGCAGCCAGAGCAAGAAGAGCAAGATGCTTGACAAAGTTTTCAAGTATGTGGAGCAAGCTCAAAGCTATGCTGACAAGGCCAGACAGGAAAAAGTGTTGAGACTGTTGCCAGAAAGCCTTTATACTCCCAGGGGTGCACCGGATGAGAACACTATCTCATCGGTCTCATCGGTCTCATCGCACATTACTGATCTTCTAAAGTGGTTCAAATCAGATTTTTTCAAATGGACAGACAGCCCTTTCTGTGAGAAGTGCTCGGTGAAGGCAACGAAAAATGAAGGTCTCACAGAGCCCTTTGAAGAGGAGCTCCGGTACGGCGCCAATCGAGTAGAATCCTGGCGTTGCACAGGGTGCAATACCCTTTTGCGCTTTCCACGCTACAACGATCCAGCTCGCTTGTTGGAGACGCGTCATGGAAGATGTGGTGAATGGGCAAATTGCTTTACCCTCATACTTACAACTCTGAAAATGGAGGCGAGGCTTGTCGTGGATTGGACAGACCATGTTTGGACTGAAGTGTGGTTCGACGGTCGCTGGCATCACTGCGACCCTTGTGAAGCATGTCTTGATGCACCACAAATGTATGAATCTGGCTGGGGCAAAAAACTGTCATATATTGTCGCCTTCAGCCCTCATGAAGTTGTCGATGTTTCTGCACGTTACACTAGAAACTGGCCAGAGCTTTTGAATCGTCGAAAAGCCTTGGGTGAAACCGAATTCGCCGAGATCATAAGCACTCAAGACGTGCTTGCACGTTCAAAGTCAGGTTTGGAGTTACCCACCTGGCGGAAAGAAGAGGAAAATGAACTTTTTTCTTTGCGTGCTGTGAGAAACGAGCCAGTGTCACAAACAGAGCTGTGTGGCCGCACCTCTGGTTCGCATGAATGGAGGAGAGAGCGTGGGGAATGTGGGCCATGTCATCCAGTTTTCCAAGAGGCAGACTTTCTTCTCATCACCAGCGAGTCAACTGCCATGAGCAATGAGAACAGCAAGAACGATGGAGCAAACTTAAGAAACGATGCAAAAAAAGTCTTACAAGCGCAACTCCTCAATGGAGCGAGCATTCGAGAACTTGGATATGTGCAGTGCTTGGATTTGCGCCCCATGCTTGCAGCTGTTGAAGTGGTACCAAGCAGCCATATGTTCGATCCATTCCTATCAGACGACGGCTTTACTGTAGAAGCCTGGGTCTTTGCTAGAAAAGAGGATTTGAAGGCAGAGGCATTTAGGAATCCTGTGATGTCATGCCACGGTCCTGCATCTGGCTGGGAACTGAGGCTTTGTCAAAATGGGGGGGCCATTTTTCTAGTCACCATTGATGGTGTGCACCTTGAACTTACTGCACCCGGAAGTCCTTGGTTGCCTCGATGGACTCACATTGCTGCTTCGTTTCAAGTCGGTGTGCCTGGGCAGAGTGAGTGTACACTTCGTGTGTACATTTGCAACGAAGCTCTGGGGGAGCTTTGTGCACCCAGTGGGCAAAGATCAACCTTTCCTGGGCCATTTTGTTTGGGTCGCAACCCTGCTTGGACTGACCGCAGTGCATGCATTTGTTTGCACTCTGCGCGCGTGACTTCACGAGTTCTGGATCCTAAGAGTTTCCTGCCACCACCAAAGCCTGATGGAGCAAGCTTCTTGTGACGCTCTTGAATGTTCTTCACCATTCTTCACCTGAAGGTGAAGAAGACGGGGGCAGAGATGGCATCTGAGACGACAGTCACAAGACAGGTTTCCAATGTTTCCAATGTTTGCAATTTCTATTGTGGTTTGCCAAATTTTTCTGGTGATGTAAGTTTGCTTGGGCCGGATCTGATTGGTGTGGTGCCATGTGGTGCCTGTGAGACTTGGATTCCGTCGGAGGACCTCTGCGAAGTGGCTTTGGCAGACATAGCAAAGGAGCAGAAAAGAATAGAAAGGACGGGAGCGGCGGAACGCGGAACCACTAAAACCACAACCACTAGGCCAGGCAGACTTGCTTTCACTTTTACACTTGGCAGAGCAGCTGCTAGCAGATCTTTTCCCATACATAATATAGCCGGCTTTGCTTGTGTGGTCGTCCATGATGTTCATGTTTTCGCATCATTTTGTGTGGGTATTGATCAATGTGGAAAGGGATCGAATGGGTGTTTGAGAGACTTGAAGAGAGTTCGCACTGGTATCAAGCCGAGGCAGATGCGTGCAACTTTGAGAAATGGCCCGAGGCAGTCCACAGATTGGAAAGTCAATGTGTGTGTGTGTGTTTGTCTCGTGTCTTTCTATAATTGATGGGCTTTGCACACCGGCGATACCGCGTGGAGAAAGGCTTTGAGGCATGGTTCTAGGTCAAAAATAGCATGGTTATTTACAATATTTACAGTGTGTTTGAACAGTTACATTCACAGCATGTTTGTAAATATATTAGATAATGTTAGTATATATTTATTATTTTATTGTAGAGCTTCGCACACCGGCGATGCCATAAGAGTTATGTATAGTAGCGTGAGCGTTGGTGTTGTGCATGTGCTCTGCGCGTGCGCTCAGGTGCAGAGCACAGTGTGATGTTCTTTTCATATATCAGCTTGTAACCATCTTACCACACATCTTTTTGTCGCATTTTTGTGTTTGTTCTTGTTGTTCTTGTTCTTGTTCTTCTTGTTGTTGTTGTTGTCGTCGTCGTCGTCGTCGCTGCCGCTGTTGCTGCTGCTGCTGCTGCTGGTGGTGGTGGTTGTGGTGGTGGTGTTGCGGTGGTTGTAGGGGAACAATCAGGGGCCATCTCGGAGCTATGTTGGGCCATCTTGGGGCTATGTCATTGTGTGGCCATCTTGGACAATGTTAGGCCATCTTGGGGCTGTGTGGGGCCATCTTGGAGCCATCTTGAACCCATCTTGGGCCCATCTTGGGGCTATGTGGGCAGTTCAGAGCACTACCTCCTGACTTCGGTCTTGGTGACTGCAGGATGTTTTTCAGCTCTTTTCAATTTCAGCTCAACTCAGCTCTTCTCAGCTCAGCCTCAACTCGTTTCTGGTCCAAAACTTGCATCGCGGCACCAAAGCCAAAAAAAGGTACTTTGAAGATGTTTTGGAAGTTGCGTCCACAAGGTGTTTCTTCATCTTTCACACAGCAAACTTGCCAAAACAGGGTTTGTCGTACATCGGCGTCCCATTGGGGTTGACCTTGCTTTTGGTCAACTTATTTGACTTCCTGATCCAACGGCGTCCCAATGAGATTTGACACAATTCTGTTAAATTGGTCGACTTTAACGGTTCGGAGTACGATTTTGTTTTTTTATTATTTTATTATATTTTTTTAAAAGGAATTTTGAAAGGACAACGGAGGGCCAGAAACAAGAAAATCGACAAAGACACAAACTAATCATCGCAACCTGGCGCAGCCTCCACTACTGATTTGCAAGCAGCGAGTTGCAAGCAGTATATATGATTATATATGTCCTTACATGTCCTTACAGAAATGGTCGAATCATGACAAAATCAAGTTTTTCTAGTGCAAATCGCACTTTTTATTGCAGATTGCAGCGGGAATGTGCCACCTTATGCCTAAAGAATGGCAAAGCTAGGATCCACTCCGTCAATATGCTCCGCGCGCTCTGTGCAGCATCGCCGGACCCTGGAAAGCAATGTGGAAGAGGGTTGTGATCGATGCGTCATGTGGCTGTCAAGGCTCCAGTTGCTCCAATCGCAGCAGCGGATTGTATTTTTTTGGTGGATGTTACCATCATTTAATTTGAGACATTTTGAGACATTTATTCACCAACACGGTCCGCATTGCCTCTGCCCGGGCCAGCGGATTGTTTTTTCATGTTTTTTTCTCGGTGAGGGTTAAATAAATATATATATATATAATAATTTGAATATATATATATATATAATTATAATATATATATATATACATACACATACATTGCATGTGTGTATACTTGTGGTTGGACTAAAACGTGATGTTCCTTGGCCACGTTGGTCAAGTGTTTGAAGACTTCAGGGTTGTTTCGATGTCATCATCGTGGACAGCACGGACATGGGAACTACTGCCGGAAGGACTGCCATGATTGTTGCATTTTGTTGCATGAGTTCTTGATTTTCACCAGAAGTACCTATGCATCCTATGCCAAGTTCACACAGAGGAGCGACCATTTGTGGAGCCAGGCCTTCTTTGAAGGATGCAATTTGGACGCAACATGGGCCATGTTTGATATTTCCGTTGAAAGGATGTTGGCTTAAGATGGCTTAAGTTCATAGCGGGCAATTGCAAGTGGTTTCATCATGAACAAGCACTCCTTGTCCCAACATTTCATGGCAACAGTAAGGTCTCAGTCGGCTGCAGCCAAGTGGGCAATTGTCTACTCAACTGGGCGCGTGCGTAGTGTTCCCTTCCTTCATCTAGCAGAGTTGTGCATACAGATATATGCAGAGAAATTGCAAAAGTTCATTGGCAGTGTATTGACTGGTGTATTCAGACTGATGTCCAAGTGGGAGCGGAGATTCAAGCGAATACACCCATTTGGTTTGCTGTGTAGTGCATGTAGTTTTTCCATGTTTTACTGAAGATTGTGTCGCACATCCACACCACCACAACCATGTGCCAGCCGAGGGGTACAAGACATATTGGATTTAGCCAAGCTGCAAGCAACGGCGTCTCGACGTTGCGAGCAGTGCCCTGGCATGGGCATCCTGGGTTTCACTGTGCTCTGGGGTGTCACTGCTACTGGTACAGTTCATTTTTTCCATTGCAAAACACAAGTTGGGATTCACAACATTTACATACCTGTTCACTTCTTTTCATTTCCTTTTTGTAAATTGCAAGTGCAGCAACTTAAGGCAGGCTTCGGCTCAGTGCGACCATATGTTGCAGCAGCGTGCCAAGTTGTTTGTGTACATACTTGTATACACCTACCCTGCCTCAAAGGATTCAAAAATCAGGAATGCCGACAGTTGCTCTGAACTCCTGTGTTCCGTTTTTCATGGAATTGAGGAAGTAGAGAGGCTTGAGCCCGGTTGTTAGATGATGTTAGATATGTTCTTTTGTCATGTTTGTCGTTATTTGTCATAGTCATAATGTTGACAGCTGGAGAGTAAGTGAGTGTGAAGAATGGCAAGATTAATCCGTCAAGCTCTCATTTTGTGCTTCGTGTGCTTGTGCTGAGCAAGCCTGCCTCACTGACTCAGGAAATTGAATCGTACGGCGGGTTTGCAATCTTTTGCTTGGCTGCCAAAGAGCGGTTCTAAGCTGAGACCTGCAGATTGACCTCACCTCCTGGGACTGCTAACCCATGAGAGTTTTTAATGAAAGTGTTTGCAAATATTTGCAAAGGACTGCGAAAGAGAAGCAAATCTGTCGAGGAGGCCCGCATACATCCGGATACAACTTTGAATTCCAGTGCATTCTAGTTTGTTGACTTTGTTCATAATTGTTCACTGTGTTCATACTTTAATGCAACATAATGCAACCCAGGGGCCTGAGCTTGGGGTTGTGGCTTGGGGTTGTAGCATGTTGTAGCACTTCTGGTCAATCTTAAGAGGGCCACACGGTGGCGCAGTGCAATTCTTTGGCAGGTGGTCAGGTAGGAATGGCTGATAGTCGCGGGCTTTGCAACACTTCTGCCTGTATCAAGAGAGGTGTTTAATTTGTTTGTATCACTTTCGTTGTTGGATCGTTGTCAGAATATGTTCGAATCAGTGTTTTTGGAAGATCTCCAACTGTTGGTTTTGCGATTCTCCGTTGTTACTTCATCTTTCTAACATTTTGTGTCTAAGGCTTTACTTCACCTGTGCCAGATTTGAAGGCTGGGCATAGTTCCCTCATTTGCATCCATGCATTGACCATGCATTGAACCTTCAAAAGGATCTGAATGTCTTGAATGCTCCAGGGTCAGAATGCATGGCACGGATTCTTGCATTTTGCCATCTATATACCGCCTGAAACAAGGGATAATTGTATGTAATTGCGCCATGTATAACTGTCCTATGGGGTATCACTGGGTTCACACCAAGTTGATGTCATTTATTCTTGTATTAAGATCGCAGTCAATTTGGGCCGATTTCTTATTGGAAAAACATGTGGCTTTGGATTGCACCATCTATGGGTTACTGCATTCCATCTCGAGGTTCTTGAATTTTCCACGCTACTGTTTTGGATTTCCAAGACTTATATTACTATATCCAGTGGTTAAGAGAGGAGGGAGGAGCTGTAGGTAAAGGAGTGTGGAAAATCATAGAAAACCGCAAGAAAAAAAGAGCAACCGCGTTATGCTGCGTACCGCGCTGACATTTGGAGGGGGTTTGCCGTCTATGTCAGGCTGTGCCATCTACCGCCGCAATTTTAGTTGAAGTTTGCCATCTACTATGACCCAGTGTGCATTGCTGTCGACCAGCTTTTTTCAGGAAGTTGACTGGAAAGCAAGAGCAAGTGCACGGGGCCTTCCAGGTTGGGCCTCTGTCAGTCTATACATAATGATACATATAGTCTTTTACCATCGTACGTACGTTGGATGATGTTGGATGTTTTGATTGTTTTGATTTCTTGCATTCGCATTTTCAGTGATTGGAGTGATTAAAGATGATTAAAGTCCGTTAAAATAGGAAAAAATGCATGGCTCGACTAATCTGACTAGCTGATTCTGAGCTGGGCTCAAACGAATGTGAAGGGAGGAGTCTTTGTGAGCCATTTGAGTGTGACACGTTTGATTGGTGTTGAAGGGCGTTTATTGTTTTTGTTGTTTACATACAGCATCATACAGCACTTTTACAATACGTATGTTCAGTACTATGTCTTGTTAGAGTCAACACATGCCAGGAAGCACGAAGGTAAGCTTCGAGGATATCACCGCCTGTTTTACACTTCCAGTGAAGAGCTTAAATGCATTGACAGTCCTTTTTGTCGAACCACTTTGGGAGCTGCCCTTTCACAATCGAAGCTACTATTTCGCAATCCATGTATTGACATTCGTGTCGCTTGCCAAACTCCCCTGCTAATCTAACCGATCGTTTTTTAAGGCGACTTCTGGTTTGGTGTTCTTATTCCTTGCTTTCTGTTCCTTTCCTCAGCTATACTACTTGAGCGCTCGCTGGATCAGTGACCCTTTTCGCAGGTTGAGGAGGATGCATGATGTACAGTATTGAATTTTGAAGACCTGAATCAAGAATGCCGATCCTGTCTTTAGGATATATGGATATATACGGTGTGTAGATGGCCATGTTATTGTTCTGTACACGTTTGATCACATTTGTGGGTACTAGTAACGTCTACGTCACGGTTCTAATGGTGTTTCATTGAAAGGCTGTCAAAGTCTGAGTTCGAAATTCCACTGGTTAGCAAGCCTCATATTTGACACTTTTTTGCGGAAACTGTAAACTACTCTGTTGTGATCATATATTTACCTTGACAAGATTCGCAAGAAATCTCATGCAGACCTCTATTTTCAGTGATCCTCTCTAGGCCCACTAAAACAACCTGAAACATTTGTTGATTTAGCCAGACACTTTCAAGCTAAAAATTGTTGAGAATACAACACAGTTACGTTCGTAGCATCAAGTGTGTGTGTGTGTGTAACATCTGAATAGATGTAAAACTAAGGGTTTTTTGATGTATAGGTGATGCCTTTCTTCCATGCAAGTACTGTACCAGCCCAACGAAGAGGCTTGCATGAGACACTGGGACACTGATATCACTGGAGACGTCCAGTGACATACCTGCAGTTCTTTCCCATTTTGGTCTTGATTTTCCGGTGTGGCAAGGGGCTAGGCCTAGAACCCCGAACATGAATTACGTGACATATGTCATATGTCATTTACAATCCATTTTTTTGATAGGTGACTCAGTTCGATGGACCAATCAGGACTCCATACGACATACGGTCGTTCAAGTGTGTGTGGTGTGTGTGTGTGTGCGTCCGTCCAAGTTCACATAAGGCAGAACGAATCAAGTGCCTGCGCGAGTGAACGTTTACGCCCAGCCCGCCCCACCGCAGAACCATGAAACATCTACAAGCAGTGCTCCATCTACAGATTTCTAGAGAGAAGCATCGTCGCCAACACGTTACAACTGTATCCTAAGCTCTTCAGTGCTGTCCTAGTTCAAAAAGAAGTTGAACTATTTTCTCACCGGTTGAGATTTGGACTGTCAAAGACTAGATTCCCATGTTGAAAAGATTGAGAACACCTCAGAGCCGTCCAACGCTGACCGCTGTGGCTCGCAAAGAGTTTGAGGCCTTCATGGCGCACGAGTTTGAAGAAGCTTTGAGCCATGCAAGTGGATCGAAGAGGGAAAAACAAAAAACTGCCGGGCTGTGCAATGCACGTGTCGTTCAACATGTCGCTGTGATTAAACCTGCCGATGATTCATGTTTGTTGCTTCCGATGCCTGCATTGAGATTTGTTCGGCCTTCAACCTCGGACTCGAGGCCATTCGCCGAACGTGAAGTGAGGCAACGAGACTCAAGCATCTTCAAACATCTTCAAACCACTTCTACAAATTTAATATATAACCTGACGAATTATCAGTCTAAATCAAGAGTTGCATTTGCTGGCTGTGCTATGCATTTGCTGGCTGTGCTATGCATAGCAGACCAACACATGGCGGCGGACCAACTGATGTACAGATACATGCACTTTGGCAGGGCATTGGTATTGTGTGTGTGCACAGATCTTGTCACGTTTTGTAATGAACAGAAGTCAAGTTCACTTCATGTGTGCAGGAATCATCTTTTCTTAGATTCTTTGGACTTCAGGTTTGGAGGAAAGATCATGAAAAATCAATCAGTACCCAGGCTCATGTCCGAGGGTGCATTCCAATCAAACTGAGGTCTTTACCATCAGCATACTCCATTTCTTTGACTGCAGCGTTCAAGTATCTCCCTGGTTTTGTTCCTCATTAATATTGCATGATATGTATATGTTTAAGTGTTTCCTCGAGGAGACAGTAAGTATAGGAGTCTCTTGGTTTTGTATGGTTTTGTGACGATTTCGATGTAGACATGTGATCCTGTATAGATTGTATAGGATGTACAGGAGGTAAAGAATATGCGATGCATTTGCCTTTGCACCTCGCTGAAGCCAGCATGTGTCACCTTCGCACCTCGCAGCTGACTGTGGCACTGCACGACCAAAGACTGTCGCGCGGGCATTTAGTGCTATGGATGTGCAAAGCCGGTTGGTGAAAAAGCGGTGCTGCAGCATAGACAGGCGCTAGATGTGCGCCGCTTATGTACCTGTGCTGACTTGTCCATTGCTCTCGACAAAGCTGCCTGAGGTTGGTTGCTTATTCAGCCCCGGAGCTGACTTGCAACTTTGCGGCTAGTCAAAGCCTGAGCATCTACGGTTTGCTGGTTGGATCTGGTTGGTAACTCTCCCAAATATCATCGCTCAACCCCTCCGAGCAATAGGAGATTAGAATGATTCGCATGGATTAGCAGCATGGATTAGCCATACCTGCAGTAGCATCAGGAGTGACTTGTCCTTAACCCAACTTCGGACAAGGAGCTTCCAATGCCCTCCATGTGATTGCTTGCCTTTTCTGAGTAGTACTGCGTTATTTCAAAGCCTGCTAAGCCTGCCAAGATTGCTGAGATGATTGAGGTGTTTGATGGTAGCTTAGTGAAGACATCCTTGTGGTTCCGATATATAAATGTTATCACGCTTGCAGCCCCAATCCCAACTAGTTGTACAATGTTGTACAGGAACCCTTGACAGAGTGGCGTAACCTTGAACAGATCCGCCACGCAGAAGGCCCTCCATTCCTCTTACATTCCTCACCAATACAGTATGCGCCAATATGCGCCAATATGCGCCAATATGCCAATATATACTAAGACTTAGAATATCTTAGAATGCAATGGTCACAGGCAAACAGCTTTGCTTCCGCCGTTCTTTTGGTTGGCTCAAATGAAGAAAACTGAAGGAGCAGTTGCATGTGGTGCGTGTCGTTCGTGACCATGTTGACACGCGTCCATCGATACGTCTTTGCAAATAAAAGGGCATGTAAAGGGGCATAGTATGAATTGGATTGAACTGATATGATGATAAGTTATAATTAGCATACATAATGACTCCTACCTTGAGAAAATTAGCCCAGGTGGACTTTTGGTGTCTCTATTATGTTTGTCCGGTTCGGATCGATTTGGCATTTTTGGTTTGATTGATTAATTAATCGATTAATCACACCTTCCGAGGTTTAAGTATGTGGGGTGTACCCAAAATAGATTAGTCTGAACGTGTGAGAATGAGAGTGGGACCACCTCGAATTATTTGGTACATACGTAGTATGTATATACATATTATATGATTATATAATATATATAAATAATTATATATATAGGTACATACGTAACATATATATATAATTATATATACATATGTAAATGTATATTACATACATGTGTGTATATAATATAGTTATAAAGATGCGAAAGGCCGGCAGACAGAGCCCAGCCACAGCCAGGGCGAGGTTTTAATAACATTGGCCGCCAAGTCATGATGTGTCACGAATCCGAGACCGCTCGCCTGGTTCCATCTCAATTTGGGCGCGAGAGTCAAGACAGCTGTGACTTTGAAGCAAGACAGTTGAAACTGCGGAGTGACAAACCCTGTGACCATCAGAGTCCACGCTTCGATTGCTGCCAAGAATCTCAAGAAGGTTTGGCTGGTTTGGCTGATTGTTGCAATGTTTGGCATCATTGCTTGTTGCGATGTTTGGGCCCGATCTTTGGCTGGCTCGGTTTCGACATCTTAGATGGCTGGTGGCCTGAAAGGCAAATGACTTCTGCAGAATATGTGTTTTATCAGGCTCAACAGAACCACATTAAGCATGTGGAATGTATCACCCGGGCCGTGAAAGGGAAGCACGTTGGAAGAGAAGAACTTCGAAAGGCAGTTCTGTCCTTTGCCGGAAGTGATCAATGCACTGAAGTGACCTGTGCCGAGCTCAAAGCAATGTTCTACTTTGCCGAGTGTCAGCAAGACGGACACGTGTTCCTCTCTTTTCTTCAAACACATTATGGGTTGGAGGCTGGCAGTGAAAAGTGATGGGTTCACGTATCCCAGCAACAGCCGCCAGCCTCCACTGATTGTAAATACCTTGATTTGGGGAACGAAAGAAGTGTGTTTGAATGCTCTAGATTATAATGATTATATATGTTCAATATTATTTGGTTGGTATCGCATGTATGTAATTGAGTCACAGTCGTTTCTTCTTTGCTGACCCGACCTGAGACACTTGCCTTTTGATATGCATTGTGAATGAACAGTCAAGCTTTCACGCCTAACCTTTAATTGAAAAGGAAACAACTTGCAGCTCAGACAAAATGAAAGCGAGTTTGCCAGGCATTGTATGATTTTTATTGACTATGTATTGATTATATATTGATTTATAATGATTTACTGTATCTTAATCTTGCATTGTCTTGCATGCCCATGTTATTGATTAATTTGGTTCAATGTCGTCCTCCGCAGGATAGCGATGTCGATTGGAGAGTTTCAGTGGAATACATCCTGGACGCTTTTGGCTGGTGGCCCTCACACATTGAAGGGGAAGGGTTCAGGCCATCAGCTCAGTCTTCTCAGTCTTCGGTCATCGACTGAGCACTTCTTATGGCACGCTACCTTCGCTAAGCGCGCAGATTGAGAGATGTCTGGGAAGTCTCGACCAGGACCTGATATGGGAACAAAACGTGACAAGCTCTGCGTGGATGTGGAAATTGTGCTGGGGTGGTTCGCCTTAATTTCCGGAGCCAACTTCAGAGTTTGCAAGATTTTGCAAAGAGTTGGAAGTTGGACGCCTCCGTGAGTGGCACATTGCTACAAACACAGGGACTCGCAGTTTTGCTTGCAGTTTTTGGGACCTATCGGCCTGTTCTGAAAATGAAGGCCACAAAGCAAGAAGAGTGCACAGTTGATCTCAGATGCGCAAGGTTTTCCGGGAAAAAAAACCTGTACTGCATTTGAGTACCAGTAACAGAGTAGATTTTGTACCTTGCAGCTCTCCGTACTGTGGATAGTACTGATAATATAATTGACAGAATGTTTGAGATTTCACAAGATGTCACGAGCTGTCATGAGATGAGATGTCAGATACAGTGTAGAAGCCCTTCAAACCCAGGAATTCTCAGCTGTGAAGCTAAGCTGCTGAATGAGAATGAGCCGAAGGAGATCGCCACAGAGCCCAGGGCCCAGTCACCAGGTTTCTTTAGCGCTTTTTGCATCAAGACTTTGGAAAAGCTGGTTTTGACATGATTCAGCAATGATTCTGCAGAAACAGAGTGGATGCCTCAGTGAGCTCAGGTGCTCAAAACATGTTCACATGTCCGGAGGAGATTGCTCACTTTGCGGGCTGCTCTTGAGCATTCTTTAACATAGTTTCCTGGTGATTACGAAATATTCCAGTGTGCAAAGATGTGCAAAGCAAGAGACAGCTTCTGCAATCTTTGGAGGGGCTATATACACATATATACACTGTATTTTGATATATTTTGATCTGCTTGGATGTATGCGCGCGGCTCAATAATCAAGAATTCACACTGCAAACTGTAAAATACAGATTCCCGGGTCAAAAGCAAAATTGAAACGATCCAATCGCTCAAAGATCGGTACTATCCCCTGTGGTCCGTGCATGTACATTTTGGAGACAAGAACTAGGAAACAATTCGAAGATACTTTCCAATATATTTCATTACAGCACTTTAGGGTACATCTCAGTGTAGCATGTTCTCGCTGCTCTCAGCATTCTGCGGGCCGAGCCTTTTTGTTGGAGGTGGCATCAGGCTGGACAGCGTGCGCATTGATTTGGGATGATTTGGGCAGAAGTGCTTGCCTGGGCCACAAGAATTGCACAGCAGGAAGCTGTGCAGGCCAATAAAAAAGCATGGGGGAGTTGGGATTCCAGGTTTCAGCTGCTTGCTTTAGGGCCAAAACATGGAAGCAAATTGGAAGCATGTCAAGTTTGGCTGTTCAGCGTTCTGGGATTGAGCAATTGAAGCATACAACAACCTTCCCGCATGATCCGACGTATACTGAATACATCTTGATGGTGACCAATATTGACCATGCCCGGAAGGAGCGTGTTTCATTTTCTTATATTTTCTTTGGTTGTGTCGTGCTGTGTGTTTCATAATTGTCTGTCGGTTGTAGGTGGGTGCCGCAACGCCTCAACCTTGGCACCCGCGGTGTCAGGTGAGGTTCTGACTCGCAGATCTCACTCACATGACTCTAGCCCAGTCCAAGAAGAAACGCTAGAGACGTGAAGCACTCTTAAGTCTAATGCTCTCTTAATTTATTGTGAAGCTGCTGAGATTGGCTGTGAGTGCAGTTTGAGCAGGATTTCCACAAGTCCGTATGCATGCAATGCTGTGAAATAAATCATGATTGCAATATACTGCAATTGTAACCACAATACAATGGAATACCATACAATACAATACACACCAATACACGACAATACAATGCAATACACTACAATACAATGCAATAGAACGCAGTACAATTGCAATACAGTACAATACAATTCAATACACTACGATACATGTGTTGATGATGTTCCGTGTGTGTGTGCTGCGAGGTATTGCAAGCGTGTTTTGAATACAGTCAGTGCAATTCGATGCAGTATGTAGTGCCATGTAGTGTGACTGGTGCAAGTACGCTTTCAATGTACGTGATGTTTGGATGTTTGGAATCTCTGCAAAGTTTGCAATGATGCTCTATCAGACACTGTTTTCTTTTTGTAGTGTCTCCAAGTTCCATCACCAGCCACAATTGACTTTGGGGCCACCTGCATTTTGATCAATAATCATCAATGAATCAATAATCACCAATAGCATATTCTGATATTCTGCCCAATCCCCAAACTGTTTGAACAAGTTAGGGGCCAATCCCGGGCCAATCGTATAAAGCCAGGCAAAAAATGGCAGGAGGAGCAACCTTTCGAAATCCACACAATTTGCCGGTGAAGGAGAGACAAAAAAGGATTTGACACAATGTGCTGTGCAGCATTTGTTTGATGTTGCCTTTGCATATTCCTTTTGCATACATGTTTTGCAATGTTTTGCCTCGTTTCTCAACACATACAATCGATTTTGTTCATCTGACAGCTGAATAGCCAGCTGAATAGCCAGCTGAATAGCCAGCTTGCTTCGCAGTGGCAGTGGAACCATTTTGAGGACTGTGTCGTATGCGGCCGTCCCTTCACTTGGAGGAAGAAGCCAGTAGCCCAACATATTTCTATCGTGTATAGCCATGTATAGCCATAGCATGCCATAGCCTATATTAACTCGTATGAGTTTAGGGTGTTAAGGTGAATGAAATTAGCCAGGCGTGTGGTGGCGCTGCATATTTTTCTAAGGTGGGAACGTTGCTGGGACGAGGCAAGGACGGGAAGTTTTGGTACCCGGGAGATTTTGCCTGCTTTTTGCACTGTACTTCTCACATTGGCCGACTGCGAACAGGTAACGACTTGCAGCAATCGGTGCAGAACTGAACGCGCGCTTCCTAGCTGGTCCTAGCTGTCCTAGCTCTTCTTCCACAGATTCGGATGCAACATTGCGGGGCCAATGTCAGGTCGACACCGCGCCAAATCCAAAGATGGGGCAGTCTTGGCAGGCCTGTTCTTAGTCATTCTTCGACAACTTCAAAATCACATCCGTCAA